TTGGTGTCAAACGTGTAATTGTGCAGAGCATACACTCTCAGGTGAAATGGACCCGCGACATTGTACATCCGTAGCTGATGTCTTTCAAGAAATCCTCTGGGAGGTGGCGCGCACCTGGTCCCACCAGCTCAAGCCATGTTCAAGTGTTCGAAAATATAATTTCTAGCTTTTTAGAATTTCTGCTCCGGATGAGTCGAATGCAGAACATGACAATTTTCCCGGTGTCTCACACTTCAACAGCACAATATCTGAGTTCTCTGTTCGTCATGTGTCTGTTCAACTGTTCATCCACTCATATTATTCGCACATTGTCTCTGTTCATCTGTGAACTCATTGTTTCTTGCGAGCCCGGAGTTGGTTTTTCAATCCCGAGTCTCAAAATGTTGCGTTTCTATGTGTTTGTTATCGTCTTGCCCACAAATCCCATACTATTTTCTAAGGAGTGGTGTTGGCTACACTGCTACGTGTTCACGGAATTCTAAACTCCAACTAACGTGTTAGATCCCGCCTTTGAGCCAAGCCAGCATGTGCTAACTCCAGTGCAATGGCCTATTTTCCGTGTTCTTGTAAACGGTTCTACACGATTTGTTAGAGGCCAGCGCGTTTTCGTTCCGCCTCCTTTTCATTTCGTCTCCGTGTAAACGCAGCCTAACATCCATCGTTAATGGGCTCAGTACGCAAAAACTAAATGTCCAAACTGTACGTAATGTCTTCTCCCTGAACGTTCGTAACATATTTTGGCAAATCGTCTGTATATGTAAACAATTACTAATGTGTGCAAGAATGGATTCGGATGGAGAGCCAAGGATAAATTTATAGTAAAGAAAATAGGACCAAGAAACTACAAGAACCAGGATAGTTCTCAACTATTACTTTAAGAACATTTTTTCGCTTTCGCAGCAAAAATCAGTCAAGAATCTGTTATATCGGGATAAGTGGGTGAGGTCTTTTTTGCGCGTCTGGGGAAGGACTGAAGGCAACTGGTCACATGACATGTGAAAAACGTGCGTAAAGTCGAGTAGAGTGTTCTGCAGTGTGCACGCGGCAGTCAATGTAGGTTATGCGACATTTCGTCGAGAACTGATTCGCACCCCGACGTTTCATCGCGCGACGCCTCAAGGTGGACAGTTGACAATTCACAGAGAAGTCGCTTCTCAGCGCGACTTTTGGCAGCGATTTGCTTCACACCGGTACCTTTTCGCAGTGTTTCCTTTTCACCACGTCCACATTCGACGTGTTTACAATGTCCATGTACATATTGTATCCCGATACAGGAGTTGGTGAATCGTTATTGAGAGAGAGAGAGAGAGAGAGAGAGGGAAAGATATTACTTGTAAGTACAAAAAAATAAAATTAGAATTAGAAGAGATTGACAATGATGGATATTAAGTTCACTCAATCGTGTTGAATGCTAGTTAGCTTGTTGAGTTTCGGAGAGAAAAGAGCAGTATGTGGCATGTGGCCTCTAATTTTTCCTAGATTGTGTGCCACACCGTGAAGGAATTCGCCTGCCGTACGCTCCTCAACACTGGTCAAGATTGTGCGGAGCCGACGATCGGTTTCTCTGTACTTCTACTTCCGGGTCGGGCCAGCATGTCCTGCAGCGGTTCGTTCTCGGGAAATGCTGGTTGCGGTTTGCTCCTCCTTCAAGGCCTCAATCAATTTCCATATCGTAGGGTGATGTCATGTAACAGCAGAAGCAAACTTCCTGTGCCAACCCTCCTGTGAGTTGTTGGTTCTGCTCTCACCATTGACCGTTGCATCATGAACATTCCACATTCGACGGGGAAACATTGGCGTGCGTCTGCTTCCGTCATGCTTCCTTGTTCCAATATAGTACTGCTCGAAATATTGTAATATACACTGGGGGTCTGCCTCAGGTGATGAATTTTCCTCCACATACTCGGAGAGATGGAGCAAGTCGCCAAGAGGTGCGAACGCCAAGGCTGCTATCTGGCGAACTTCCAAGGAGAACTCGGGATCTGCTATATAGGAAAGATATTCTGACACAGATGGAAATATCAGCCGCGGACATCTGCATCCGGGAACTTTACTCGAATAGCTTTCATCATGACTTTCTCGAAGTCGATGTAGATGACGTCTGGCTGAATTTCAGGATCTTCGTTGATGAGTACCTGTAGTAGACGTTCAAAAGCAGCCTGGGTCTTGTTCGGACGAAGGGCGTACACCAGTGGCAGGAATGTGTTGTCCTCGAGTACTCCAGAATAGAGTTGCTGGAACAGATGGGGAACGGTCTTGAATGTCCCGTGAGCATGCCAAATGTTATTCTGCAGTAGGGTTCGCACGTTGTCCGCTGTGCTGAACACCAGAAAGCGAATATCACCCGCCTCTGGCCCAGAGTCATGGAGCACAAACTCCTCTCCTGCTTTCGTCGTCTGGAAAGCTTCCGGGAGGAGCATCTCTGCTAACGTACCCGGATTAGCAAGTGTATTGCTAGCACGAACTCTTTCTCGTGGAAGTGTCCGCTTCACAGACTTCTGAGAGGGAAGTTGACAGGTTGCCGTCATGGAAACTGTGGACAGAGAACCAGACACAATCTGATTTGAAGAGTCCATCGTCTCCCGGATTCTTTTGACCATTCCCTGGCGAACCTCCAATACTGCTTTCTGACCAGGCTCAGAAGCGGGGCTGTGAAGGCCTACGGTGGCGACAACTTTCATATCATTCGTCTTGACACGACCCTTGCAGTGTAGTTCTCTCACAGCGCCAGTAGACAAATTTGTCTGGGCCGTCCTTGTCTCGCACGTAGGCATAGCCTTTCAAGACGATCTTTGCCTTTCCTCTCTTGGTCGTCGATATGTAGTCAAGGTCTTCCTCCACGGTTGAAGTTGGACTCCAATCAGTTCATTCCAGAATGTCATCTTAATTAGTTCATTCCATAATGTCATCCTATATCGCGTGGAGGCGATAAAATCGGGATAAAATAAGTACAATGCACATTGTACACACGTCGAATGTGGACTTGGTGAAAAGGAAACACTGCGAAAAGGTATCGGTGTCAAGCAAATTGCTGCCAAAAATCGCGATGACAAGTGACTTCTCTGTGAATTGCCCAGGCTGCGAACTATCCACCTTGAGGTGTCGCGCGATGAAACGTTGGGGTGCGCATCGGTTCTCGGCGAACTGTCGCGACACCCACTGCGATGCTAAAGGCAATAAACTCGCAAAAAAGAAGATCAACTGTCAGTGTGCAACTGCACTTGAACTGGCTTGCGCATACTCAACTTATGCTGAAGTTGGTTGCGCGCTTCATGTTCGCAGTGTGCGAGGGCCTTAAGTGTGTGTGTCGAGTGGCTCCCACGACTACATCCACGATCCAGATAAGAACTTAGAAGGAGAGCATTTGAGCGGCATCTCATCCTGAAAATCAATGTGGGTGCGTCACCTACTACGCAAACTACCACTTGTTAATGCGTAGAATTGAACAATAACTCCACTAAGGACTTGATTTGACTTGTGCAAGAACTGATGAAGGGAATCTTGCTTGCAGCCTGCCCACACACTGAGAACAATATATAATAACACTTAGGGTCCTCGCTTTTCTGAGCTTCCACGCGTACAAGCTGAGAAGTACATGTAATTTGTTGTGACGTTTTGTCACTAGGAAATTGGAATAAAAGTCAGAGCTCCAAATCCTGTAGACAACCAGTTCACTTTCTCCTAATCAGACGATGAGTACAGTTGGTGTCTTCCTACAAGTTGTGTACCTGCCCGATATCATCAGTTCTAATTGTCTCCTCTTCTCAGCAAGGTAAGACTAGACTGTGTTTGCATGCTAGATTAACGGTCTGCAAATTGTACTGATGTACGAAACGATCGGAATCACCTAATGGCATAAAGTATAGCGATACGTGCACCGCCAATAGTGAAGGTGACGGTGTATGTTGACTAGTCTGCTATCCTTGTTGTTGTGAACTTAGGTAGGTGTGATGTGTAAAGTAACAGTCATTGAAAACCCTATTTACTGGAAAACCAATTTCTTCCTTGTTTCTCTGGAACAATGAATTTTAAAACTTGAATTTTTTCCAGTCGGGATAGCGGTAGAGTGCCATACATGTATGTCCCATACCGGAGTTTGAAAAATATCCGAAATCTTTGGGACAATAAAGCGCCATAATACTGAAATTTCCCAATCTACTCTCATACAAAGTCTGACATAATAAATCCGACCTAGGCTGAGTCAGTTAATTACATCATCGTCATCAAAGCACACTTCAAGCCTGTGTAACTCGGGAACGGCTCGCTCTGATCAGTCTGGGACGTTCACCATTGCAGTCAGTGCAATATTCGCTGCTCGAGGGTACGTCAACTTCGTGATGACGTCATCATTCCCCTAGTTACCGATAGCTTGCGCCCTTATAGTACAGTGAGGTGGCAGCATACCACCAGCTTTCGCATGGCGATTTGATCCAAAACTTCTCACGGAGTTTGGCGCTCAACCCTGTTTCCCGCTGCAGACTTCACTTTGAACTGCAGGCTATACGTAGGGTTTACGGCATCAAAATAATGTTGGGATAAGAATTGTACTCCTCCCGCAGTGGCGCGAGAATGAGGTACTACAGATGTCGAGTGACACTGGAATAGTGCCGCTGCTCCCAGCACTTTGAAGGGAGAAGCGAAGCAGCAATGTAATGAGGTGCCTATAAGCTGGGATCGAGTGCTTGGGAATATGTTCTAGCTTCTATGCGCCATACCACGCGAGTACAGCGCAATACAGTGCTTTTTTTAAGTATTTTTCTGTAATTTCGCGAATGTTCTCCGACCTGGATGACATATTTTGTCACGGGCGTACACGTAGCCTGCAATTCGCCCACGGCCACGCAAATTACGGTTGCCGTGCGTGCCACGCTTACACGGCATGTTCAAGAATATCATAATAAAAGGGGCAACTGAACAGGAGATCATTCTAGATGTTAGGACAGTTAAGGTGTGTTTGCCCTTTTCTCTGTCATGCAGTGTTAATTCCGCCGTGTACCATCATGTCCACCAAACCGCTAGTGACATCTCTTGACCTAAATGCAAGCAATCTGAATGCTACCAATGAAACTGAAGGAGACCAGCAGGCGACTGGCTCACCAGAGTGCTTATCGCCCAACGACCAGCGTACAGCAGTACCTGTCCAAGAAGTACGTCTCGGGTCTAGAGTTCGTCGCCTGTGGAACAGAGCAATCACGTCCGTGCTTACATCGTTGCGACTGACAAGAAAGCAAGCGGAGGAGCCCACCCCGGCAGAGGAATCACAACGTAAGCCTTCACCGCGTGAAGATGAGCAAATGATTCCCAAGAAACCGCCAAAGTTGTCCATCGCCAGAGACAAAATGCTACTCGGACGTGCCGACTTTCGCCGCTACATGTTTGGAAATGTGTGCTATGTCATCAGGCCGATAAGGTCGCACGATCTTGCCATAAAGGATGAAGAGCACTGCGTGAAATACAATCACTCTTTGCGCCACTGGGCTGCTGGGTACCGGCCAAACCAGAACGGCAAAAGTATGCCTTATGAGTCCGGCTCAAATCCACGCCAGACTGCTGAACAATTCTGGACGGAAATGGTGCGAAGTAGACGCTCGGAGGAATTCATGGAGAACTTCCGCTCGCGGTCAATGAGGGTGGAGTTCGAGGTTGCTCCAAAAGTGTTTACGCCGGAGGCTGTGTTTGAGTATTTCGATACCCGTCAGCCAGTGACCCTTGATCAGTTCTGGGACTTTCTGCAGCCCAAGGCACGTGTGGCTGACATTAGATGTTCCGAACGAAAGCAGGTATGGTCTGACAACGGATGTGTATTAGAAATGAAAGGCGTTGTGACATTAGTCCACTATGCCAATAGACTTGAAGAGAATGAGTTTGAACTGGTGTTCCGAAGAAACCAGTTCCGTTGGTTCGAGTGGCAAATCACTCGTGTCGTCTACGGTGTGATGAAAGAGCAAGCCAGAGAGCACTATGACGTGAACGACTTGAGCCGGGTTTACAAATCTCACGGAATCCGCTGTGCACGTCCATATCAAAAAGAAAACTTTCCGGCTTGAACTTCTTATACACTATAGTACGCATACATGTTTAAAATACTTGTTCAGACAACAAAACACAGTCATGTGTGTTATTGGAGAGTTTGACGACTAAGCTCACTTTACTCTTTCTTCTTTGTGCACTTAACAATACGGTTCACAAGCCACCTCTTGTGCTTCGCTCTGCATACGTGTAGATGTTTCATCCCTGCTTATTTGCTGTATATAGCATGGTGCATAACTATTGCAAACACATGAACTCATTCTGATGTCATTCTTTTCTTCCGCTTGTTTATTTTACACACTCTAGTGAGTCGTTTACACACTTGAACCGCTCTCAGATCTTCAAGTGGTGACAAAAATCACGTCACCTGCGCTTGTCGTGTTTCCAACATTCACGGCACAATTCTAATGGGTCGCACTGGTGCAAGATCGTGAATTCAAATTTTGTTTTACTTCAAGAAGTTTCTCCTTCGCTCTCTGAATCCTTTTCGTACTCCACACTTCTCTATAGAGCTAAAACTACAAGCTGCGCGACCAGTAACAGTTTGTTTGAAATGTATAATCTCGTTTGCGCGCTCCTCAGTCAAAATGATGATGTAGCTATGTTTACTGCATACTGCTGGCATTGGAAAGTGGAAACAGGACAAATGCAGGTGACGCGTCTTTTGTTCGTCACCTTTTGGCCAGGTAACTACGTACGCGTTGTTGAGAAGCTACGACGTCAGACTTCGACTGCCTGAAGTGTGAAGTGCGTGTTGTTTAGAGTGGTGTGCCTGTGTCTTATCCCCTGTGGGATGCAGATACAGTCATTATTGCCTATAGCGTTGGTCTTTGATTTTGAGCATTTTATCACTATAAGCGATAAATTAGTATGACCGAGACTGCACGGACGACTGACACGTCCCTGCAGACACTAGCAATGGAGTCTAGGACCCTTTCCATGCACTCATCCAAAAGGTCACTGATGAAGGTGCGGAACTGCTTCAGAAAGCCGTCCGCATTTACTATGCCAACAGAGTCCAGTTTGGGGAGCTATGTCGCCGATTTTCGACCTGTACCAACGCCTACGCTGGAAGCAACACTCTCAGGTGACTCCGACAGCTCTCCCAGATCAAACACAGTCCAGAGGCTGTACATTTGCGCAATCCCTAACAGCAGTCGCGCTAACATACCCTCGTTTTCAGAGAAGCATCACTTTCTGGCGTTCCAGCTAGAGTCGCCATGGCCATGGCCCGCATCATCCCCTCGAACAACGTGACCACACATCACAACAGCGCAAATCCGCAGACACGCGAACCGAAACACAGTAGCCTGTATTGGTGATCCGCGGGATAAGCATGCAGCCCCTACTCCCCCTGCTGTTTTCTTATTGTGTTCTCTGTTGTCTTCTCATCCTCTGACCAGTAGGTTGAGTACTTAGTAAAAAATACAAAAATACAAAAAACCCTGTTTGACAACATCACCTCCTGCT